ATTTCCACGCCCTTACCAGCAAGAAGACAAAGATTCCATTTCCCTCAGTTCTTGAAATTCAGCACCTTCAAATGGGAAAACGCCGAGGAAATATATGTTTGGAAACTCAATATAGAAGTTTTTGAGCTATTTCCAGGCCCCAACCAGTAAGCAGAATCACCATTCTGCTTACTACAGCCCTTGAAATTCGGCACCTTTGCATTTTCAAATGGGACAATACGAGGAGAAGTAGGCGATAAAACGCATTTTGAATATTAACTTAGATGGTTCTTAGCTATTGGCAGGCCCCAAGATATCAGTAGAATCACCATTCTACTTCCTACAGTCCTTGAATTTCAGTGCCCCTGTGGTTTCCAAATGGGAAAATAAGAGAAAAACCTTCCGTACGTAGAAAAAAAAGGTGCCTAGAAACTCAATCTAGAAGTTTCTTAGCCATTTCCACGCCCTTACCAGCAAGAAGACAAAGATTCCATTTCCCTCAGTTCTTGAAATTCAGCACCTTCAAATGGGAAAACGCAGAAGACATATATGTTTGGAAACTCAATATAGAAGTTTTTGAGCTATTTCCAGGCCCCAACCAATAAGCAGAATCACCATTCTGCTTACTACAGCCCTTGAAAATCGGCACCTTTGCATTTTCAAATGGGACAATACGAGGAGAAGTAGGCGATAAAACGCATTTTGAATATTAATTTAGATGGTTCTTAGCTATTTGCAGGCCCCAAGATATCAGTAGAATCACCATTCTACTTCCTACAGTCCTTGAATTCCAGTGCCCCTGTGGTTTCCAAATGGGAAAATAAGAGAAAACTTGCCGTACGTAGAAAAAGAAGTGTCTGGAAACTCAATTTAGAGGTTTCTTAGCTATTTCCAGGCCCCCACCATTTTGAAATGTTGTTCTTTTTCGTTTTTAAGCTATTTCCAGGCCCCAACCAGTAAGCAGAATCACCATTCTGCTTACTACAGCCCTTGAAATTCGGCACCTTTGCATTTTCAAATGGGACAATGTGAGAAGAAGTAGCTGATAAAACGCGTTTTGAGGATTAATTTCGATGGGCCGAAGCTTTTTGCAGGCCCCAAGAAATCAGTAGAATCACCATTCTACTTCCTACAGTCCTTGAATTTCAGCACCTTCCCAGTTTCAAATTGGTAGAAAGAAGGAAACATGCCGTAAGAGGAAAAAAAGGTGCCTGGAAACTCAATATAAAGATTTCTTAGCCATTTCCAGGCCCTTGCCAGCAAGAAGACAAACATTCCACCTCCCTCAGTGATTGAAATTCAGCACCTTCAAATGGGAAAACGCAGTGGAAAAATATGTTTGGAAATTCAATATAGAAGTTTTAGAGCTATTTCCAGGCCCCAACCAGTAAGCAGAATCACCATTCTGCGTACTACAGCCCTTAAAATTCGGCACCTTTGCATTTTCAAATGGGACAATACGAGGAGAAGTAGGCGATAAAACGCATTTTGAATATTAATTTAGATGGTTCTTAGCTATTTGCAGGCCCCAAGATATCAGTAGAATCACCATTCTACTTCCTACAGTCCTTGAATTTCAGCACCCCTGTGGTTTCCAAATGGGAAAATAAGAGAAAACTTGCCGTACGTAGAAAAAAAAGTGTCTGGAAACTCAATTTAGAGGTTTCTTAGCTATTTCCAGGCCCCCACCAGTAAGCAGAATCACAATTCTGCTTCCTACAGCTTTTGAAATTTTGCTCCTTTTCGTTTTCAAATGGGAAAATAAGAGAAAACATGCTGCAAGTAAGGAAAACGCGGTTTGAGACTATACACATTTTGTTCCATATATATATACATATATATATATATACACACACTGTAATATGTATGTGTATATATATATACAATGCATATGTATGTTTATATTTACGTATATATTTACATATATATAATATATATATATATTTATGAATGTGTGTGTGTGCGCCTTGGCCTTTCAATTTTTTTTACTCAAAACTAGACACTGCTGGATGTGTTTTTTATTGTGATCTTGGGCAATTGAGGCCATCAGGAACGCGAATGCAGTAAGCAGAATTAAGTAGATGGAAAATTATCCACCGGTTATCACGACATGATTTTCTGCTTACTGGGGGGGTCAATTGGCTCAAGTTCAGCACTCCGACCCATAAGCCTCTGAGTCAAAACCCCGGATATCACCCAAATTTAGCCAATTTCCATATGCAGTAAGCAGGAAAGTCTCTGCCTACCGGGCGTCTTTGACTATATGTGTAAAATCATCATCTCCTCATGACCAGGTCACAGGTGAAGTGCCGCCGCAAGAACTGGCCCTGGTGGTAGATATCTCCATGTCCATGGCTGAGAAATTGAGCTTGGTGAAGGCAGCAGATTGGGGGGAAGAACATGAGATATTCATTGCAATTTCATGGGACTCATTGTGATTTCATTGGGATACTAATTCATATTGATGTTTTTTTTTTCTGAATCTTCTTTGATTTTTCTCATAAAAATGAAATTTAAGCCACAAACGCAAACGAAACCATCATATGGCGAAGATTTATAAATAAAACCAGAGAGGGTCAAACATGATACAGGAAGGTGCTGCAGAGTTATGTTTGTTGGTTCATAAGCACGTCCAACTAGTTCGATAGAGCCATCCTAAACCCTAATAGACTGTGACACTATGGGACCCTTCCTGCAGGGGATTTACCAAATCATAGGGAGAATTTACAGCTACAAATTCTGGCGATGAATTATTGAGAAGGATTTGAGTCATGTTGATCATCACCCATCAGTTGGGAATATGGAAACCAACAATATGTGCTTGGTACTTTAGCCATAGCAACACAGTGTGATTGTGCGGCACCATCAAGTAGGGATATCAATTATTGACGCTGACAAGAAAGTATGGCCTCTTGGTTGACAATGAGAAGTCCTAACAGTGGTAAATTTGCTGCAATAGGAAGGGCTACGGTGGGGGCATGCTGATAATATCTGATAATCGTCCTACGAAAATATACATATATGTGTTTATATACATACACATATTCAGCAACAGTATGATGACCCCATCATGAACATAAATATCTGGTTGGGGGTATGAATATTTGGTTGGATGACCCAAGATGAGTGTTGGACCCGAGTTGATATGGGTCCAAGCTACATATCCAAAATAAGGCTGCACTTCCCGCCAAGCGATCTAAGTTACAGGATCGATGGGCTGGATCAAAATTGAGAAAACCTGGGCTCCTAGAATTGTCCCTATTTGGGATGCTAAAAAACTTGTGGTAAAGCTCCATCCAATTGCGGTATGTCCTTGGGGATGGTCAACATGGCATTGGGTAAAACCCCTCCCCCAAAATCCCCTTAGAATCCCCCATTGATCGATGTTTTGCCCATGGCTGTGCCTGAAAACAGGTGATTTCACCATTTATGGCACTGACCATGGCCATTTTGTAGGGATGACTGAAACCGACGGATCATGGTTTAGTTTTCCCTCCAATTTTCAGAGCATTTTCCAACGTTTTGATCCTGGGAATCCAATTCCACAGTAGGTCGGGAATATGATGCCACCATATGCCACCCATTTCTCCAAAGTGATTAGGGATGGTAAATCCAATAGTCTACCACAGGAGGGCTGATTAGTTCTAGCACATCAACCATCCTTCCACATCATTACTTGCATCTGCGTCCATCGTAAGTGGTTTATAACCCACATATATATATATATACTGTATAAAGATATACAACCCATACGATTAATCGGAATTTCCATGTATATATATATAGTTCATAGTACCCATGTATAAGTGGCTTACAGTATGCATATTACCGACTTACCACCAGGTGATAAGTTGTCAGTCGGGGATCTCCCTGCCAGTCGGCGGTGCGCCAAATCCTTCATGGTCTGCGGAGTGAAGACAGGACTGCTGTGGCGTGTTGGGAGAATCCTGATCCTGAATGGGGACAGCTTGGCCCCTTGGTAACAGAAACACATACCCTCTGGTAACATAGCTATTGAAAATGGCTATCTATAGTGGATTTTCCCATTAAAAATGGTGTTTTTCCATAGCCATGTTAATTTACCAGAGGGTATACTATATGGCTGGTTGGTGGTTTGGAACATGAATGGATTATTTTTCCATATATTGGGAATGTCATCATCCCAACTGACGTTCACTCCATGATTTTTCAGAGGGGTAGGTCAACCACCAACCAGTATAATATATGGCTATGGATCAATAGCTACAAATACGATTTTTAGGGGGATGAACATTCATCCAATCCATTTACCAGTTTTTTTTTGATGTTCACCAGTGGTTTTCCAGGTTTTGACCCATCCAAAAATATTGCTGCAATGCCATATAAAGTTGGTGAAATCAGCCTCTTTGGCCACATCGAAGTTGACCCCATTCTCCGTGAGATATCTGTAGCTATTTTGCAGCACTGTCAGCAGTCAGCAGCAACCGAAAAACTCCCAGTGTCTTTTTTGTGTCACTGCTGACTTTGCAGTAGACCAGCATGTTTCTTCATGGAACTTCCCACAACTACGGCTTGTGTATATATATATATAAATATTATTATATATGTAATTAATACATATACATATATATATATATACATATGTATATATATATAATATAGATATCAATATGTATATATTATACACAAAATAGAGACATACCCCCATCTTTCTTGATTCAAGAATCCGCATGACCATTGGTGAAAGGTCCGCAGAAAGGCTATGGGACCATACATTGGGGATGTTTTACCACGAGGGGGATGGGATTTATGTCCGCAAGAACTATGATGAATAGTTAATGATACTTAAACCTACAATATCCTATAATTCATGGGGGGTTTAAAAAAAAACAACTTATAAAAAACCAACTTATACCTTCTATTGTGATGGGTACATTGATAAAATCTTTCAGCATCCCATACTGGATACGTTTCGATGCGCAACGTTCGTCTCGATGCGTGCCATGTGAGCTGGTTGGAAAGGCTGGAAAGCCGGCGTTCAGATGATTTCTGTGACTAGGTTATTGAGTGATCTTTGGGGGTTTAAGTATATATATACACACATACACATTCCTTTAAAGATATGTATACACTAAATCAATAGATAGTGTTTTTTCCACTTTAACTTGAATGGTTAGATATGTATGTGAAAGGAGGATACGTGCTGTAAAACGGATATTGTCTGCATGTATATAGGATATGCCCCAGCAGAAATCAAGTGGTCTTACCCAGTCACTGGCTGGTGGAGGTTTGATTCAGGCTGGTGGGCAACAATCGTCTGTGATTTTTCTGGAAACAAACAGCGTTTGTATCGCCAATATACCCTCTGGTAAATTAACATAGACCCTGAAAATAAGCAATTTTTAGTGGAAACCAGTCTTCCAACCCCCTTATCTGCCAGGGCCTATGTTAATTTACCCCAGGGTACAGTACACATTGACAGACATATACATACAATTGTACGTACATGCGCTCATACAGATAGATAGACAGAGCCAGACCGACTGACTGAGATATAGACAAAATTACCTTACCTTGCCTTACCTTACCTTACATTACTTACAAACAAAATGCAGATTGAGTAACTCAGTCTGGGCATGCTCTGTGCATGCGAGTGTATGTGCCAATGCTAGACGATACTATTATATAAAACAATATATATATATGTATACTACAAAAAATATTTATTGGCAGTACTACATGGTGGATAAACCCTTAGCTGCTTAATAAACCATTATCAGATGGTTGTGGGTGGTCAAGCTCCCATCTTTTTTCGGGTGCTTGTAAAAAGGCCCCTATCAAATGGTGATTTCTCAGCGTTCATAGCTTTTAATACATCATTATCATTATCCATTCCATTATGATTACTATCTATAGTCTATTGTTAACTATTATCATCTATTGTCATCTGTTATAGTTCATTATCCATTGTTATCTATTATCCCTCATTATCTAACCCTTATCTACCCTTGTCTAAGCCTTATGATTGATCCAGTCACTCAAGAATTCATCATTATCATTTATCAATTATTATCAATTATCATCTATTTTCATCTATTTTCATCTATTATAGCAGTATGAAATAACTTTTTTTTTTTCACCGGCAATCCGAATGGACCGTCCCAGGTGCTCAGCGCCACCAGCGGCGAGCAGCTCGCCGCCTTGGACGCCGAGGACGTGGCTCAGCTGCTGGCGTCCAAGGACAACACGCTGCGGGCGCTGAAGCAGTTCCTAGCGAAGCAGCTGGGACACTCGAGATTTCAACAAAGGACGGCGGGTGGTTGGAGTTTTTGTTGGGCTACGGACATGTTTTTCTTGGTGTAGAAGATATTTGGAGAACATCTGAGATGTCAATTTTTGTCAAACTGCCAAATCAAAACGCACATGCGCACTGTCAGAAATCAGAGTTCCTGAATAAACTGTTATTAAGGTTGCGTGATTTATTGGTGCTAAAATTGGTTTTGGAATGCTTTATTCTTATTAAAGGTTTAACACCGTTTTTTTGTCTTGTTGGTTGGACAACAATCCCAAAAACAATGTTTTTCTTAATAAGGTTTTAACAATGAAATTTCAATTTCATTGATAAAAACCATCTCTTACAGAGACCTTATCCAGCCCTTAACCAAACATCGCTAGTAAGCGTTCATTAAGAATGTGTTACACCACTGACGGGTTCTTATCCATTGTTTCATCCTTATCCATACCTTACCATACTTCTGGGGGGGTTTTGCTGGGGGGGGGCTGGTGGTACCTGTGAATCTCATGGTTTATCGTGATTTCAGATTTTTGGTCCATGATGATGATGATGATGATGATGGTGATGATGATGACGATGATGATGATGATGATGATGTTTTGGTCTGTTGGACTGGTTGCTATATTGCTAAAGGGAATATTTTCTGTGGTGATTTAGCATCATCGAACTCACCATTGCTCATTTGGACAACATGATCAAGGTGCCAAGGTGTCGATCAGTGCCAATGGGGCAGCACGGCCGTTCCTGTTGGTTTAAATCACATCTGTGTATTATTAATAATAAGTATACATATCATTTATCTAGATATACATGTATAGATATTCTATCTGTATATTCAAGTATATACCAAAAAATATAGAACATGTATGTTTTCCTCATGTCATTTTCCGATTTTCCACATTTTTCCACCCAACAACTATGGGACAACTATGGGACAACTATGGGACAACTATGGGAGAACTATGGGACAACTATGGGATGACCGCAGGATTTTTGCGGACGAACATGTTTGCCAAGAGCTGCAAGACGATGAGATCTTGACTCCTCCGGTGAAGCTACGTTTGTTGCTGGTGAATTTTCCGGAAGATCCGTTGCAAAGCCATGAATTTCTGGTCGCCTGTGGTGAGAATCGCCTGGATGAAGTGGAACATTTGCTTCTGAGACCTCAAGATCCCAATGTCGTGGATGGCGAGGGCAAAGGGGCACTTCACATCGCTGCGAGCAATGGGCAACTTGCCGTGGTGTCCATGTGTGAAAACATGATAAAACATGTGTCAAGACAGGATATGTTATTGTGATCTCTTGCAAAACTGGCAGGTATGTTCAATGCTTGCGACTACTACTGGAAGCCAAGGCCAATTCAAACTCGACAACTGACAGTGCCTGGATGATGCTTCGAAGGTTTTGTCTTTGTGTTTTTTGGCTTATTTTTCGTTGAGTTGAAGATGATTTGGACACCCTAAGGGGCTAGTTATGTTTGGATGGATACAATCGACACATGTTGCTATCGACCCGGCAGATTCTTGGCCCCAAATTGGTTGTATCCGCCTTTTGTTTTTTTTCCCCTTCAAATCAACCTTAGGGCTCCTTGGGGCTTTAGTCCTTTAAATCTATCCTTTGAAAAGTCAAGTTACCATTTTCTTTACGAATGGACAGACAACCCCAAGGCAAAAATCATGGGAATTCTGCGGGTTTTCTGTCCATGATTCTGGCACAGTTCAATCAGGTGGCGCCACTGCCTTACACTTTGCAGCAGAACACGGGCACCAGGTGGTGCTGCGGCTGCTGCTCAAGGATGGGGTCATCAAAGATGCGGTCATGGCTGCTGGGTTTCTGAAACGATCAAAGCCATGGAACGTTTTCACCAGCCAAATTCTGGGGATATGGGGTCAATATATGGAAAGTTGATGGAAGTCAATGGGATTCCATGGTGATATATAACCACCAATTTTCAGGAATTTAACATCAAACCATTGAAATTCACCGGGTTCAGATGCGGAGTTCGCAATCAAACATGGTGATTCAGCCAAAATGATGATGTAACTTTGAACTCCATCAACACATGAGGATTTATCTCCCAGGGATTTCCCCTATGAAAAAACTGCAGCTGGAGATAGCAAACACCCCACCATTCGCATCCATCTGTGATGGGGTGAGGGGTGAGGGGTACCAACAAATGGGATGTTTTCTCAACCAAGCATGGGATTTCTTCAGCAATAGTTTCGGTTTAGCCTCTGGGAAACAACCATGGCCCAATGGCTCGGTTTCCCAGGAATTCACCTTGGAAAAATGCAACGATTTCTGTGGAAGGTATGAAATCCAACTCCCTCGGGAGGACCTGAAGCTTTCACCACGCCAGCACGTAACAGCACCAGAATCCATATCACAAGCTTACAAGCCCAGGAAAATGGATCGACTCCTCTGCATTTGGCAGCTTTTCATGGTCAAACTGAAGTGGTGCATTTGTTGCTTCAAGCTGGTGCGGAGAAAGACAGGAGACCCTGCGATGTGGAGCCTGTGTGAAACCAACATTGCACTTCCAATACTTTGAACCCAAGATCAACCAGGTTTCGATTGGGACACAGTATCATATCAGGTTTTTCTGGGGACATTTTGGGCTATTTTCCAAGGCAAAACTTAGTGGGGCCAGGGCAGTGAGGGCCATGTGTTTTGCAAATCAGCGCAGGATACGAACAGACAACGGCATGACTCCCCTGCACCTCGCGGTCATCGAGGGTCGCAATGATGTGATACGACTCCTCCTTGAGTCTGGTGCCGAAAAAGACAAGGCAGGGAAAAGGTGGGAGGGCCGAAGCAACCAATCCTTTGAGATGTGCCAACTTTGTTTTTTCCCCAGATAGCTGGCAAGCTATAGGGGTTCTTACTTCTCAAAGGTGGGGTCTTCGGTGGCGAACTTTTGAGCAGGGTGCTGTGCAGGGTGCTGTGCAGGGTGCTGTGCAGGGTGCTGTGCAGGGTGCTGTGCAGGGTGCTGTGCAGGGTGCTGTGCAGGGTGCTGTGCAGGGTGCTGTGCAGGGTGAACTGTGCGTGGCGAAGTCTGGCAAAGTGCTGTGCGGGTGCTGTGCAGGGTGCTGTGCAGGGTGCTGTCCGACTGCGGTGGCGAAGTGCAAAGGGCTGTGCAGGGTGCTGTGCAGGGTGTGTCCAGACTGCGGTGGCGAAGTCGGGCAAAGGTGCTGTGCAGGGTGCTGTGCAGGGTGCTGTACTAGTGCGGTGGCGAAGTCTGGCAAAGGTGCTGTGCAGGGTGCTGTGCAGGACGCTGTCCAGACTGCGGTGGCGAAGTCTGGCAAAGGTGTTGTGCAGGGTGCTGTGCAAGGTGCTGTCCAGACTGCGGTGGCGGAGTCTGGCAAAGGTGCTGTGCAGGGTGCTGTGCATGGTGCTGTCCAGACTGCGGTGGCGAAGTCTGGCAAAGGTGCTGTGCAGGGTGCTGTGCAGGGTGCTGCGCAGGGTGCTGTGCAGGGTGCTGTGCAGACTGCGGTGGCGAAGTCTGGCAAAGGTGCTGGGCAGGGTGCTGTGCAGGGGCTGTTGTTGTCCAGACTGCGGTGGCGAAGTCTGGCAAAGGTGCTGTGCAGGGTGCTGTCAGGGTGCTGTCCAGACTGCGGTGGCAAAAGTCTGGCAAGGTGACTGTGCAGGGTGCTGTTCCAGAATGCAGTGGCGAAGTTCTGGCAAGGTGGCTGTGCCGGGTGCTGTGCAGGGTGCTGGCCACGGTGGCTGTTGAGGTGCTGGCAGGTGTGGGCAGGGGTTGCTGCGGCAGGGTGCTGTGCAGGGCGCTGTCCAGACTGCGGTGGCGAAGTCTGCCCCAAAAGTTGCTGTGCAGGGTGCGTGAGGTGTTGTCCAGACTGAGGGGGCGAAGTCTGCAAAGGTGCCTGTGCAGGGTGCTGTGCAGGGTGCTCTGCAGGGGTTGTCCAGAGGGAGGTGGAGAAGTCTTGGCAAAGGTGCTGTGCAGGGTGCTGTGCAGGGTGCTGTGCAGGGTGCTGTCCAGACTGCGGTGGCGAAGTCTGGCAAAGGTGCTGTGCAGGGTGCTGTGCAGGGTGCTGTGCAGGGTGCTGTGCAGACTGCGGTGGCAAAGTCTTGCAAAGGTGCTGTGCAGGGTGCTGTGCAGGGTGCTGTGCAGGGTGCTGTGCAGGGTGCTGTGCAGGGTGCTGTACTAGTGCGGTGGCGAAGTCTGGCAAAGGTGCTGTGCAGGGTGCTGTGCAGGGTGCTGTCCAGACTGCCGTGGCGAAGTCTGGCAAAGGTGCTGTGCAGGGTGCTGTGCAGGGTGTTCTGCAGGGTGTTGTCCAGACTGCGGTGGCGAAGTCTGGCAAAGGTGCTGTGCAGGGTGCTGTGCAGGGTGCTGTGCAGGGTGCTGTCCAGACTGCGGTGGCGAAGTCTGGCAAAGGTGCTGTGCAGGGTGCTGTGCAGGGTGCTGTGCAGAGTATTGTGCAGATGCTGTGCAGGGTGCTGTGCAGGGTGCTGTGCAGAGTGCTGTGCAGGGTGCTGTGCAGGGTGCTGTGCAGGGTGCTGTGCAGGGTGCTGTCCAGACTGCGGTGGCGAAGTCTGGCAAAGGTGCGCTACCCAGACTGCGGTGGCAAAGTCTCGCAAAGGTGCTGTGCAGGGTGCTGTGCAGGGTGCTGTAGCGTGCTGTGCTTTGGTTTCCACATTGGGAACTATCAGTGCCAACCTTTAGGAACTGGAAGTTCTTTGCAATGGTAACCTATGGTTCCCAGGTTGGGAAGCATGAGTTCCAACCTCTGGTAACCGGCAGTTTCTTGCAATGGTAACCCATGGTTCTAGGTTGGGAACCAGGAGTTCCAACCTCTGGGAAACGGCAGTTCCTTGCAATGGTAACCTGTGGTTCCCACGTTGGCAACCGTGAGTTCCAACCTTTGGGAACCGGCAGTTCCTTGCCATGAACCAAACGCAAACATTCCGGTACCGGTCCATTAAGCAAAACAAAGCGTTCTTTACCGGTCCATTAAGCAAAACATAGCAAAACCAAAAAATTGTAAAGAAACTGTTTTCATATCATTTTAACATGCACCTTTTTCGTGCAAAAACATTTTTATGCCGGCCCAACAGCCAAACGCAAACATTCCGCTACCGGTCCATTAAGCAAAACAAAAGGTTCTGTTACCGGCTCAGTAAACAAAACAAAACAACATTAAGAACCATGAGTTTTAACTTTTTGCAATCAACAGATCCTTCCACTGGTAACGTTACTTTTTCAGGCTTGGAACCATGAGTTTCAAGCTTTGGGAACCCACAGTTCCTTACAATAATAGTTGCTTAGCTTCGAAAACATAAATTCTCACTTCTGGGAACCGGCAATTCCTTGTAATGGCAACCTCTGGTTCCCAGGTTGGGAACCGTAAGTTTCAAGGTCTGGGAACCGGCAGTTCCTTGCCATGGTAACCTTTGGTTCCCACGTTGGGAACCATCAGTTCCAACCTTTAGGAACTGGAAGTTCTTTGCAATGGTAACCTATGGTTCCCAGGTTGGGAACCATGACTTCTAACCTGTGGGAACCGGCAGTTTCTTGCAATGGTAACCTGTGGTTCCCACGTTGGCAAGCGTGAGTTCCAACCTTTGGGACCCGGCAGTTCCTTGCCATGAACCAAACGCAAACATTCCGGTACCGGTCCATTAAGCAAAACAAAGCGTTCTGTACCGGTCCATTAAGCAAAACCATAAAATTGTAAAGAAACTGTGTTCATATCATTTTGACATGCACCTTTTTCGTGCAAAAACATTTTTAAGCCGGCCCAACAGCCAAACGCAAACATTCCGCTACCGGTCCATTAAGCAAAACAAAAGGTTCTGTTACCGGCTCAGTAAACAAAACAAAACAACATTAAGAACCATGAGGTCTAACTTTTTGCAATCAACAGATCCTTCCACTGGTAACGTATGCTTTTTCAGGTTTGGAACCATGAGTTTCAAACTTTCGCAACCGGCAATTCCTTACAATGATAGTTGCTTAGTTTCGAAAACATAAGTTCTAATTTCTGGGAACCGGCAATTCCTTGCAATGGTAACCTCTGGTTCCCAAGTTGGGAACCGTAAGTTTCAAGGTCTGGGAACTGGCAGTTCCTTGCCATGGTAACCTTTGGTTCCCACGTTGGGAACCATCAGTTCCAACCTTTAGGAAACGGCAGTTCTTTGCAATGGTAACCTATGGTTCCCAGGTTGGGAAGCATGAGTTCCAACCTCTGGGAACCGGCAGTTCCTTGCCATGGCAACCTGTGGTTCCCACGTTGGCAACGGTGAGTTCCAACCTTTGGAAACCGACAGCTCCTTGCCATGAACGAAACGCAAACATTCCGGTACCGGTTCATTAAGCAAAACAAAGCGTTCTGTACCGGTCCATTAAGCAAAACCATAAAATTGTAAAGAAATTGTTTTCATATCATTTTGACATGCACCTTTTTCGTGCAAAAACAGTTTTATGCCGGCCCAACAGCCAAACGCAAACATTCCGCTACCGGTCCATTGAGCAAAACAAAAGGTTCTGTTACCGGCTCAGTAAACAAAACAAAACAACATTAAGAACCATGATCTTTATCTTTTTGGAATCAACAGATCCTTCCACTGGTAACGTATGCTTTTTCAGGTTTGGAACCATGAGTTTCAAGCTTTCGCAACCGGCAATTCCTTACAATGATAGTTGCTTAGTTTCGAAAACATAAATTCTAACTTCTGGGAACCGGCAATTCCTTGCAATGGTAACCTCTGGTTCCCAGGTTGGGAACCGTAAGTTTCAAGGTCTGGGAACCGGCAGTTCCTTGCCATGGTAACCTTTGGTTCCCACGTTGGGAACCATCAGTTCCAACCTTTAGGAATTGGAAGTTCTTTTCAATGGTAACCTATGGTTCCCAGGTTGGGAAGCATGAGTTCCAACCGCTGGGAACCGGCAGTTGCTTGCAATGGTAACCTATGGTTCCCAGGTTGGGAAGCATGAGTTCCAACCTCTGGTAACCGGCAGTTTCTTGCAATGGTAACCCATGGTTCGCAGGTTGGGAACCAGGAGTTCCAACCTCTGGGAACCGGCAGTTCCTTGCAATGGTAACCTGTGGTTCCCACGTTGGCAACAGTGAGTTCCAACCTTTGGGAACCGGCAGTTCCTTGCCATGAACCAAGCGCAAACATTCCGGTACCGGTCCATTAAGCAAAACAAAGCGTTCTGTACCGGTCCATTACGCAAAACCATAAAGTTGCAAAGAAATTGTTTTCATATCATTTTAACATGCACCTTTTTCGTGCAAAAACATTTTTAAGCCGGCCCAGCAGCCGAACGCAAACATTCCGCTACCGGTCCATTAAGCAAAACAAAAGGTTCTGTTACCGGCTCAGTAAACAAAACAAAACAACCTTAAGAACCATGATTTCTATTTTTTGAAATCAACAGATCCTTCCACTGGTAACGTATGCTTTTTCAGCTTTGGAACCATGAGTTTCAAACTTTGGGAATCTGCAGTTCCTTACAATGATAGTTGCTTAGCTTCGAAAACATAAATTCTAACTTCTGGGAACCGGCAATTCCTTGCAATGGTAACCTCTGGTTCCCAGGTTGGGAACCGTAAGTTTCAAGGTCTGGGAACTGGCAGTTCATTGCCATGGTAACCTTTGGTTCCCACGTTGGGAACCATCAGTTCCAACCTTTTCTATCTGGGGTCTATGCCGGTGTAATTTTGCTTTTAATGTGGTTTCAAGCCCTGAAAATAGGAAATATCAGTGCAAAACCATCAGTAACTGAGTAAGACCATCTTCAAGTCCCATCTTTGAACTTTTCTCCCCAACCAAAACCACACAAAGTTGTACCAATTTCCGGAAGCTTCACCAATTTTAGTCGACAACCGCCTTCTGTCATCCAAGTGGAGTCCCCATCGATTCCAGAAGCCCTGGCATTCCCAGAGATTTAAGATCATCTTCACCCAAAAATCCAAAAATCATCAGTTCATCACGCAAAAAGATCATCAATCAGAACCCCCAAAAAAGACTATCCATTTCTAGATGATTTTCCCGTTACAAATGCAATTTATAGATGATTACAGAGAATTGATCCCAAAGAAAATGTCAAATTTCGAGTAGAACCATTAATTACGTTAAGTCACTTAGGAACTTAGATATTTGTCCCCAACTACCAAAAACATGCATGTTTTCTGGTTGGAAGATTATCATGCTGTTGGTGATATATCCCATCAAGTCGCCATTGAGTCCAGATATATGGCAATTGTGGTTAGGTTTGTACCATCCATTTTTCCCAGTAAACAGATTGGATTTTCCATTGCCAAACCACCAAAACCACCAAAACCACCAAAACCACACCACATCTGCATTTGTTCTTGTTTGCAAAAGGACCAAATTTCATTAACCTACTCATAAACCCACTTCGCCAACCGGAGCACCCAGCTTCCATTGTTCAGTGATGATATCTCCCATTTTTTTCATAGTTGAACTACCATGTTTGATGTTTAAAAGAACATATGTTCATGGTAACCCCACCATTTTTCACGGTAAAACCACTATTTTTCACGGTAAAACCACTATTTTTCATGGTAAAACACAGCGTTCTCTCCATTTTTCCCAGCAGTTTGCGGCTCCGAAGGTCACCGAGGACGGCAGCGCCCCGGTGCACCTGGCGGCGCACTTCGGGCACCGCACGGCGCTCTTCGGGCACCGCACGGCGCTGTGGCAGCTGCTGCTGGCGCGCTGCGCCGCGGACCTGGCGCGCCGCGACGGCGTCACGGCGCTGCATCTGGCGGCGGAGGCGGGGCACCTGGAGATGGTGAAGATGCTGCTGGAGGCGGAGGGGATGGGTTAACTGGGTGGTGGTTTAATGGTGGTTTAATGGTGGTTTAATGGTGGTTTAATGGTGGTTTAATGGGGTTTAATGGGGTTTAACCAACAAAATTGTGGTTTTAATGGTATTTACCCTCTGGTAAACGTTTACATGGCGAACTGGAAAGTCACCATTTTTAATGGGAAAATCCACTATAAGTGGGCCATTTTCAATAGCTACGTTAAATTATCAGAGGGGAACTGGGTGGTGGTTGGCCCAAAAAGGTCGTTCTTATGCAAAACCTATTGATTGGGCAAAAGGCAGAAATTTTCAGCACCTTTTGAAGAGGCAGGTATTGAGAATGTCATCATCCCAACTGACTAATTCATATTTTTCACTGGGGTTGAAACCACCAACCAGAATGTGTGATGATTACTGTATATAGTATTATTTGTTGATGATCTACACGATAATATCTATTGTATGATGGGTTACTGATATTATGGGTTGTACATCATCGTAATCCTGTATTATAATGAAAAAATGATATTAATTATAGTGAATTTATAGTGTACATCATCAAATAATGGATGATAATATTACTGATATTTACTGATCATATTTGCTTAACTTCATTTATAGCTATAATGTGAATCTGGGGATGGGAGAGGGGATACACAATCACCAAAGCCGAATCATATTCTGGGCTTGAAATAGTGGGAGGATGGGGGGATGGGGGGATGGGCTTATCAGCATTATACCACCATTTTGCTGCGTATCTCTCCCCTCAATACCATGGTTAATACCTTTTGTTGGTTATTGCAGTTTGTGCACCAGAGAGGTACATAGCCCGCATTGAAACCCAAAAAGAACTATTTTGGGGCATGAGCCTGATGAGGACATGGTAAAGATGATGGTAGGATGCGGGCATGGGGGGAAGACATGGGTTCGCCCAAAAATGACAACTTTAATCGGGAAAATAAGCAACTAGAGGATTTTAGCGCAATGACCATATTTCCAGACCAACGCAGATGGGGCTTGGGAAAGGCTTGGCTGAGTCGAGCGGGTTGGAAGATATTGGGAGTTGGTCATAGTTTACCAGCAAAATTAATTGTGATTTAGTCTGCAACATATTGGCATTGACCTACTGAAAAAGTGAGATGCACGACATTTGAGGCATTTGAATTCATTGAACAACACTTTTAATATGCCAAAGATGGGGCTGAAACCATGGAAAAGTGACGATTTGATGAGCTTTTTCTGTAAGCGGAGTTGAGCATATCCAGCAACCTGAAGGCCAAAGTACAAAGAGACAAGGCCATCAACAAGGACTGTGAAGAGGGGGGATGAAAGTTCGAATGAGTTTCACTGAAAACAATGGGAAAACCTGAAAACACCACGGTGTATCATTGTTTAGCATATCATTTTCACTAAGCTCAACGGTCATTTTGGACAAACCTGGATTGGTGGGGTTCCGATCCCTATCCTTATTCCATCAGAAAACAAGAATCCCCATCAAAACCCTGCACATGTAGTATAAATCCACCTAACCAACCTATACATATTTGGATTTCATGAAATAATGATGATTATCAATGCGTATCACCATCACACCACCATTTTTGTTTTTTGATACCCGTGGTATCATGGTTAGGTCCCGTTTTGTTGGCTAATGTTGCGATGACCATAAGCCACCATGTAACTTGTCCATGGTAAACATATGAAGCCCTGATCTACAGGTTCTGTCTGGTAGGATTTCCGGGATTTCCCATGAATTTCCCATAGATTTTCCACATCCACGGCTCCCAATCATCCCTCCAGCCCACCATCCACCCAGGACGGCATGACCGCCTTGCACCTGGCTGCACGGCGCGGGCAGACGGAGGTGGTGCGGCTGCTGCTGACCGCAGGGAGCGACAAAGATCCCAAGACCAAGGACTGTGGCGCAACGCCTCTGCACCTGGCAGCCATGAAAGGTTTCTTGGAGATGATCTTGGATGACCTGTAGCTGGACAATCGATCAATGGGAAAGTTTCGATCGATGTTTCTTTCTGGAGATTTTGGTTGCTGGAAAATCATCGAAGCAAGTGATGGAGAATGCTGAGTAGGCTGATTTATAGCTGGATGGAGATCTACAGCTGAAAAATCATCCAAACGGATGAGTAGGATGGTTCAGTATCTTTTGGTAAAATCCCCAAATAAATGAAGGTCTTAGTGGGAAAATGATCGACTTAAAGGAATGGTTGGAAATCATCGAAGCAAAGGGTGGATAAGAAGTAAGATGGTTAAGTGGGATAGAATTTACCCTTTGGTAAACTAACATAGCTATGGAAAATCACCATTTTTAATAGGTAAATCAACTATAAAATCACCATTTTCAATAGCTATTTTAGTTTACCAGAGGGTATACATGTTCAAATGGCAAGTTTTGGATGATCTTGGACTGGCTGGCTGGTTAATATGGCTGGGAAAATGATCGAACTAACTGGTAGAGAATGTTGAGAAGGATGGTTCTTTTAGTAGGAACTCATCGAAGCATATGGTGAAATGGGAAGTTTCTATTGGATGGTTGCACTTTGCTACTCAAGCATTGCTATTATGGGAAATCTCGACACTCAATGGGGTGGTTAAATCGAAAAATGATCGAATTAAATGGTGGATAATGTTAAATAGGACGGTTAAAAAGGAATTATAAAATTGGTCAAATGGCAGTTGTTGATTGGCCGATTACCGTTTGGCAATCAAACATGGCAATGGGAAAATTCTGAACGGTGGATGAAACGGTTGGCCACGAGGGGGATTGTCCATTGCCATGTTTGATTGCCACTGGGTAAAAAAAATGTGTGGTCAATGGCCAATTACAAATCCTCCTGAAAATCCGTTCTGGAAGTATCTACTTTTTGAGTTTGTACATTACATGCATTAGCTAGATACCTTCATTGATACATTCGATGCAGTAAATACATGGTTACCATGGTTGCTTTCAGCTGAGCTCACGTGCCATTTGAGGAAACATGGAAATCGTACGGCTATTGCTGGACGGGGGTGCACAGATCGACCAAAGAAGAACCTTGGTGATTGTTTTGGTGGCATCGCTTACGTCGCTTACGGTTTAGGAAAAACGCGTGCAATGTGTAACTAAAAACGCTTTCGAAAAAGCTTACTGGTGTGGAGACTGAGCCATGCTGGCGTACAAGCATTGTATTTCAGGAGTGCAATCCATCTGTTGTTCAGACCGCCCCCACCTGGGGACATAAACTGGCACCCTCTTTGAGAGCCTGACATGGAAAAGTAAGCGAATAGTTGACCAGATAGCTACCTTACAGTCAATTCATAGGATGTATGAGGCACGTTAACATTCACCAGGCGATAGCTTCTCCAGTTGATATCATCAGGATTTCCCGTTTCCAGATTAGTTTGCAGCTCCGATTTAGCAAGCGGTGAAACTCGTAAAACTCGTAAACCAATCCGGGAGACTGAGGAAACAAACTGGCGTTTCCAATTTGTTTGTCATCTTCGGTTTGATGTTAGAAAACCTTAGGAACAGACCATGGCACAACTCCTTTGCACATGGCAGCCTTTGCTGGTCATTTGGAGGTTGTTCGCTGCTTGGCGCTGTGAACATGGGCTTCACGGGTCTGAACATGGCATGGGATTGTAGGATTTACCCTCTGGTTATGACTAACATAGCCATGGTATAGATGGCCCATTGATAGATGGTTTACCTATTAAAAATGGTGATTTTCCATGGCTATGTTAAATAACCAGATGGTATAGGTTATGGTCCATGAATACATGGAGATGATGATCAATCAGTGGTTTCACCATATTTTTGGAGAAACCCATCAGAGAGATTTTCGTTGCTGTTCGTGACCGGTTGACACAAATGTTCACATCCACTTGGCTGTGCAAAAAACCTAGTCATCCTGTGAGTCCAGACTAGCAAAGCGTCTCCAAAAGCCCACCCTACCGTAGGTATGATTCCCACAACGATGGTCGATATAGTTTCCAATCAATTTTCAGAGTCCTTGATTTTTCGGAACACCATGACGTTTTGACCGTTTTCTTTGGGAGTTAAGTTTGCAACGATGGGCAAAACAGAGACATTTGTGACATGGAGCTATCACCATTATCACCACTCGTTTCTGGAATTGATTTTGAACTGAGTCAGGCGTAAGCTGGATGTGTTAAGCAGATATGATATATCACATATTAGTATTATATTAGTATGATGATCATATCTGGGGTGCATGTTTTCAGCATATTAGTATCACTTTACAGTATTCGGACGACGAAGTGGGATGACAGCCAGCAAGAAGTGGCGAAACCGATCAAATCTGGCTGATGGATACCGTTTTGACCCGCTGAAATTCCCGCTTTGGCTTAGTCATGGGTGAGCTGTTTTTTTCCCATGTGAAATCCCACGTATATTCCAACATTTTCCAATATCTATGATGATTAACCATGGTTAACTATGATATGGTCAATATCTGGATAGCTATGGTTGCTATACCATGTTATTGACCATATCATAGTTGACTTCGTCGTGGGTTAACTATAAATTAACCATGGTTAACTATGATAAAAGATGGGTTAACTATGATAACTTATGATAATTATAGTTAGCCATGGTCAATTAACTTCATGCTGGGTTAACTATGCTTCTTCCCACCATTGTTGCTGTGATCCCCAGGCCTCCTGTTGTCGTCCCGCGCCGACCCCACGCAGCAAATGACGGACCAACGTCACGCGACGCCCTTGGACCTGGCCTGGCGCAACGAACACGTCGAGGTCGTGCGGCTGCTGGAGATGGAGGCCACGAAGGTCGCGCAGGTCACGACGCGACTCTGGGCAGCTCGGATTCAGCCAATCATGGCATTTTTTAAGATATGAAACATGGGGAGAACCCACCGGATTTTAACCATAAACTCTACTACTCTCTGGTAAACATAGAAAAAGCCATCGAAAATGGCCATCATAGTGGATTTTCCCAGCTCTAAAATGGTGATTTTCCAGTCTATGTAAAAGTTGACCAGAGGGTATGGGATCCAACTATGGTTAGAAAGGGATCTACCATCTGGTAAACTAACATAACTATGGAAAATCACCATTTTTCATGGGAAAATCCACTATAAATGGTCATTTTCAATAGCTATGTTAGTTTACCAGAGGGTAACTGTGGTATACTATGTTTTTTACGGTTTATGGATGTTTACCAGAGGGTAACAGCAGATGGGTGCTACCAAAAATGGCGACGTTCAACCCCGCCAAGGATTTGCCATTCTGTGCCGTTCTTTGACAGCGAAAAGCAAAAAAAAAGTGAACGCGGCACGGTGGGAATGTGACATCGAAAGGCTTTCGGGATAGGTTACATCAAACCTAGGTGCATTTAATTTTGGTGTAAACTTGGGAAATGATATCCAAACTGATGTTGGCCAGTTTCTTTCATCTCCCAGTCTTGTTCCCATTGGTCAAATCTAGAGGTGTATCACAAATCGCGGAGAGGTTCCAACTCGTCAGCACTGCTTGTTTTTTGGGTCAAGGGATGATTTTCCAACAACAATTGTTTCGATGTGGAAAGCCGTACTGCATCTTCTCCTTCTATTGCCACTACTGCTGCTGGTGCTGTTTTTTTTTTTACTGCTCTCTCTACAAGCAGTGGCAACAGTTTTAGCAGCAACAGTAGCAGGAGGAGAAGTAATAGCAAGTAGGAGATAGTAAGAGTATCAGCCAACCTGTGAAATTTCCAGATGGTTTATGATGGAAAATCCTGTTAAAAATGGAAAATTTAGTACCCCAAATGATGGATATGGCATCAATGGTGCATCCACCTTTTTTTGCAGGATCCACTTGATCTCCTTCCATAGCTTCGCTCGCCCGGAGTTCATCAACGGCACAGTGGAGCGGAAGGCGTTACCTTGGGAGCCTTGGGAGCCAACAGAAATGGGGGAGTTCACCACCAAAAAATGGTAGAACCAACAAGTGATGGCTTCTGTGAGTGGGATTTGATTGATTTGATCACTAAATCGGAATTTTCCCCCCAAAAAAAGCAACACGCGCAGGGATGAACATGTCAGTGCTAGTGTTATTGCTAATCATTTAATTTGCCTATAGTGCCCAAAATACCAATTGGTAGATTCTTATAGAAGTTATACTACCTAGGTATACTAGGTGTATAAGGAATGTTTAGATTCCATTATATTTGTTTATTCTAGTTATCCTACAAAAACCAATGTAAGGACTTGTACAATCCATTGTGGGAACCGCTATACACCACGTCAGGGCAAAAAACATCCAAGGACACCTGCGGATGATTGGTGGTCATCGTCCATTTTCTTCTTGGTATGTATATATATATACATCTATATCAATATCTCTATATTTATTTTTAGTTTATATGTATATTTATATCTATATGAAAAAGTATAATTATGTTTATTTGTACAGTTTATATTTCTAGGTATATGTATAAGTATATTTATGTTTATATGTTTTATATGTTTTATATGTTTTATATGTTTATATGTTTATGTGTTTATATGTTTATATGTTTATATGTTTATATATGTATATATATATATCCCCATTGCATCCATTATTCACTCCATCCATCTTTGTATATATATATGAGTAAATTATAACGACCTCACTGCGACCTCACTATAATCATATTTAGTAGGGGGAATCATCCCAAAATGGCCGCAAGATTCAGGGTAGTGAAATATTATAATTTACCCAGATATATATATACACATGTATATGTATTATATTATATTATGACGCACCATGGCCGGCAGTCCACCTGCAGACAGTCCGGAACGTGCCCTGCGAGGCGCAACTGCTGCAAGCCTTAGAGGCTTTGGAGCCGAAGACCAACCTCTCGATTCGTTCCTTGTCCCAGGGTGGGTAATAGATGATCTACAATATGTATTGATGGCCGTATGTATATATATTTATTTATTTATTTATTTATTTTTATTTATTTATCCGTATATTTGTAAAACTGATGCTAGCAAATGCTAATTAAAACTGTTCATGCGATCCCCGGGAGCTGCGGATTAGGTCCAATTGATGGAAGCGATCCTATTCCACAGGTGCGTCCATTCTACTACTGGGCTGGGTCACAATTGGGTCGGTCAGAGAAAATTGGGCGATATCACATGTGATATCACTCACAAGCACTAAATGACTTATCTAAATTTAAATGAAATAAACTTATCACGTTTGGTACTTGACAGAATGACTCAGGACACATACAGCAGGGGAAGCAGATAGGTTTGTAGGTACTTCAAATCCGAAAAAAAAAACGCGATATCCTCATGGTTCATGTGCGACCCCGAATCCAATGCTGGATCTGAAGGACATGGGTAACATCAGCGAAGGCTTATGGATTGCACAGCGGGAAACCCCAGATCTGCCAGGATGGTCGATGTTTTTTGGTGGATTCATCCAAGAATGTGATAATTTTGTGGGATTTCAATGGGAGATAATTAGATAGTATGTCTCTCTGTCTCTATCCATATTATATATATATATACACATACATATATGTATGTATATGTGTACATATATATATATATAATCAACTTGGCAAACCACTACCATTCGGGGACGGTTTGAATTCCGTCCATTTGTGGTGATTTTGAGGATGGTTTATTGTATGCTGATCGCTCATCTATGGCGATGAAATGAGTTCAATAAAAGACCTGGCAGTTGACCGTAGGATTCGTTCAGACGTGATCGTTTACACCCCGAGACCCACAGGATGCTTTATGGTAGATATAACTATAATGGGGATTATCATGGTTTATAAACCAACTTATAACTAGGGGGCCCCATCCTGCAAGATTGGACGATTATTCATCTACATTCACCGAATCCTCGTCAGACTGGTGGTTCCACTCCTATGATTCGCAGAAGAATTGTACAATCCACTCGCATCGGCATTCCTTGGGGCTCAGCCTCGCCAAAAATCGGTCAGAGAACTCCGCCAAAAAAGAACACTTTGGAATCACGGGTTTCAGACTATGACCGAGACCCTTCCCGGAGGTCCCCACCAAGAGGCAGATGCAAGTGCACCTTTTCACTCCAAGTTGGGCTCGGTTAATTGAGCCAGTCAGTTGATTGGCCCTTGAGCCAATTGAATGGCTTGGCTTGAGCCAAATTGCAACAGTCGGAGGACGTCTCAACGACTGTGAAAACTTTAAAAAGACCTTAGTGGGGGTGCAGTGGTACTCTGTGCATGTTTCCCAAACCGCACTCCCCCTTCCTGCTTGCAGGAATCCAGGTTCCCCAACACCAAAAACAAAAGCTTCAGGGGTGGCCACGTTTCCTCTGGGAACTCGCCCTTCCCCCAGCCAGAAGGGCGAAGACCCTCGTGTGCCATAGTCCCAGGCTGGTGTTGGTTCCCCCTTCATCCAAGGGTCGCGTGGAGTTCCACTTCGGGTTGACTCCAAAAATTGAAAAACTACAGCCCTAACTTCGTAGGTTTTGAATTCCCTCTCTCACCAGCGCTGTCCTCGAAGAGCGCCCAACGGTGTTCTTTGGGTCCAGCAGCTGATGAGCTTTTCCCTGTATTGGTCTTTTCCACCGGCAGCTAATGATCTTTTCCTTGGGTCTTGTTGATCTTTTTCTCCAGCCACCGATGTACTTTTCCGTGTGACCTATTTCCTTTTGGGTGAGCTTTTCGCCACATCTCTTGGGTCTTGTTTGACAAGGAAAACGGTGTATCCCACCCACTTGTCTTCGACCCACTTGGTCTCCCAGTCAAAATCCAAGATTATTTTTCGCTCGTTGCTGTCCAGGGTATTCCACAAAAATGTGACCCGGTAAGGATCCAACTGGTCGACCTTTTTCGGTAAAGTGGGGTGATCTGGATGAAATGAATTCTGTCTCCATTTGTAATGGATTCTTGTGATGATTCGTCCATAGTCCCCAGGGGCTGGAACATGCCACATGTCAATGGCCTGACCCTGTTCTTCAAAGCCTGTTACGGCCGGCGGCTTTGTCATCCATGCTGTGCCCTCTCCAGAGATGATATATTCCACCTCACGCATGACCACCTCAGGCATGTAAACTGTCCAGCTGGCTGGGTCTTCAGGACGTCGTTCTTCTCCCAGAGGTTGTTCTTCACGATGGTTGGACCCCATTGATGGTTCCTCATTTGGAACCCCGGAACCTTGGTGATTGACGAACCTCCAGAACCTTTCCCAACTGGGCTTCACAGCGATGATCTTTGTCAGGAAATCGGCCACAAGTTTTACCCCTGGAAGGTGACGGATGATCCAACTACCATCCTTTAACCTTTCCCTTAGGGCTGTTGCTCGCAACCGCAAGTGCCGAGTCCTCCACGGACCGTCAGGATTTTCCAAGATGGCTATTGCAGCCGTGTTGTCTCCGTAGATGATCTTCTGCCCGATTTTCCGTCCTTCCACGACCTCTATGAGAGACGCCAGAGAGTCTCCCATGACCATGGATTCCAAGTAGGACATCAGTTCCCCTTCGGCGGTGCTCAACACCACAAAAGCTTGACGGCTGGCTTCCCATTGAACCAACCCTCCACCATAAAAACCTAGGATACCCTGCAGTGATCTTTCGCCCGCAGGGGCAAATGAAATGTCTGAGAACATTTCGACTTGCTGCATCTCCCGGTGAAATGGCAGATCATCTTCGGGACCACGATCATCCCTTGTGCAAACCCCATAGCTGAGATGTTGAGTTTCGGTTCCCTTCAGGTAACCAAACACCTGTTGTGCGGTTTTCACCACCCATTTGGGCCGTTTGTTCACCTGCCTTCCCAATTGGCTGACGGCGAAACTGATATCCGGCCTTGTCCTTATGGACAACCACAACAACTCGCCCACCACCGTTTGAGCTTGTCGGATGTTTTCAAGTGCTGGTTGTTCTTCTTCCGGAAGTTCGGCATCCGCTTTCGTCATCGGAACCGGTCTTGGGTGTTCTACTTGATGTCGATTCAACAGATCCCGAGTGTAGGACTGCTGTCCCACCTTCAACTTCTTGTGATCCCCTTGACCGCTCCATTGGAGCTCGAACCCACAAAATCGAACCCAGCCTTTGTGATCAACTTCTTCAGGAGTGGAGCAAGTCCATTCTTCCTTCAGCCTCTTCAAGAAGCTGTGTTTGGCGTGAGGTTCCGCAAGAACCATAAGATCGTCCACATAGACGACCACCAAACCCACTTGCCGATATCCATCAGGACGTACTTCTTCTCCCGGAGCGTCACCACCTTTACACAGGATTCTCCACAAATTTCCTTCCGGCGTTTGTTCCAGCTTGTACTCCTTCTGCATCTCCCCCGGGCTTGCATCTCCCTGCCATGTGAACCGCCGCATTGTTTGGTCGCGGTACACTGCCCAATGGGCAGGACTGGATTGAAACCCATACAGGGCCTTGTCGACAAGCCAGACCTCATCCGGTTGGGTAATCCCAAAATCAGTCATGATCCTGGGCGGCACCACCGCCACGGTTTTGGCACCTTGTTCCACCGGCCGAGGAGCCAGTAGAAAAGCGGTCTTGATGTCCGTCGTGGCTACATCCCATTGGTGATGAGCTGCCTTTCGCAATGCACACCTTATCAGAACCCCGTCCGCTCCACTGGCATACAGCAGAGAGGAAGGCATGGGATCCGCTTCCGGTGATGCCAAGTTGCCGCAGATCACAGCGCGACATTTGTATCTCCCTCCAGCCTTGATCACACAGACCAATTTCCCCGGCACCAATTCGGCTTCAGGGTCAATCTCGGACCTTTTGACTGGTCGGATAGCTTTTGTTTCTGCAGTCAAGGATTTGTACTCGGCGAGCATCGAGTCGTACCATTTTTCCTTTTCCATTCTCACCTTGTGGAGAGGGACTGTAACAGTTTGAAGTTGTTCTTCTCCACCGCTACCATCAGCTTGTGCTGAACAGACCCTTAGTTGGCACACTCGCCTTTCCTCTTCCATCCTTGCAGTTGTTACAGCTTCCAGTTCTTCTTCCAAATCTTCACGATGTTCTTGTAGAAGTCGTAGAACTTGTCCCTGTATGAAACCGTTTGTGGGATCCACTGGAACATTCGACAGTTCTTCCCTAATGGCTTCCACAACTCCAAGGTGTTGATCTTCTTTGACCTTCAACAGGTGTGTCAAGCTAACGTTTCTGACGATGAACTCCCCCGAGGTTGGACTTCTTTCGATGTGCTTCTCCCCCGAGTCTGGACCATCTTGTGCAGAAACCCTTGAAACTTTGATTTTTTCACTTTTGAAAAGGTTTTTGAAAAGGTTACCGGGCTCCCCCCCTGCTGACACTTCAGCAGGCTCTACTTTCATTTTTGAGATTTCCGGCCCAAGGCTGTCAATCTCTTCCACAGGAGCTTCCGGATCTTCTCGGTTGAGTTCTTCAAAAAGCAAGTCGATTTCATCAGGCCCTTCATCTGCTTCGAGCATTTCGCTCGGTTCGTATGGCTCTGAATCTTCAGGTGGTGATTCGTCAGGAGGTGGTAGCGGAGCGTCCCCAATGGTTGGCGGCAACCTCATGACACCTTCTGGCGGCGTCTTGGAGTAAAGCCGTCTGTGAGGCCTTTCAGGATTGTCTTCTATCTCCAACCTGATGCGGACCCGCTCCCCTTCCTCACTCGGAACAACCACTTCTCGAGCATGAACCACCTTTCCATCTTTCTGTTGGACTACCCAACCCGAGAACATCATTGGACTCGGACACAGTAGGCGTCCTTCTGTGTATGGAGACGGAATCGCCCCCTTTTTGAACCATCTTTTTGACCGAACCAAGACGTTGGCCCTGAAGGGCAGCATTGACAGTACGGGCACCCCCAGTTTCTCCAACTGTTGCCTCATTCGTTCTTCAGCACAATACCTCATGGCTTGAGGCCAGTCGGTCACCTCACTTCCTGCCACGCGGAGATACAGACGGGTTCGCCTTTTAAGCTGATTGACCTCTGATTCCACATGGCCGTTTGAGGCCGGGTCGTCTCCCTCCGTCATGCTCTGTCTTATAAGGCGCTCTGAGCACCATTTTTCAACCTTTTTTGACAGTAGCTCTTTAGCCCGATCACTATGCAGACGGTTGATCTTGATACCCATCGTGTTGAACTTCGCGATGCATTTTCCCAGGGCGACTAGGATTTCACTCACATGCCTTGACCCCAGAAGTTCCACCAATGTCACGTGCCGTACATTGAACGGCTGCTTGGATTCTTCTACCAACCTTTTGACTTCTTCCGTCATCGGGTCGGGATCTCCTTTTTCTTCCTTTCCACTGTTATCCTTCTCCCCCGACTCCGGAAGTTGATGATCTTCTCCACCAAGCGGGCAATCTCCCTCTTCGAGACCATCCCCCCACGAGGGTTCCAGAATTTTAGGTTTCCCCTTTTCTGGGGATTCTTC